CGAGTATGTCGGACTGGATTTGTTTTGACCTTTTGTAGTGAAGAGAGGCAGAACCCTATGTAAAAGATTTGGCTGTTTATTCACCTGTTTGAAAATGAGAGCTGTGCATATTGAGATGGTTCATACGTTCATTCTGGCATTCGTTCATTCGTTCTAGCATTACGTAGATTTATAAATCGCTGAGGTACACCGAAGGTGATGTTCAGTGTCAGCGGGACTGGTTTTGTTGGTTGTTACGCCGAACTCAAAGAGTATTTCGAAGGTCCTCGAATGAGAGTTCATGAAGAGTTATTGAAAAGAAACATCGAATAGTACTTCACCCACCACATGCCAGCCAGAGAGGTGGGCTATAGGAAAGACTTACAGGAATTATTAAGCACAATTTAAGCTCCGTAATTAAAAACCAAAGTTTGAATGATGAAACGTTGGAGACATTTTTATGTGAAGCTGAACGAATAATAAAGGATCGGCGGCTATTACCTGAGAGGGACGATGTCAAGGATTTCAGTGTGTTGATTTCAAATAAATTATTGTTATTGAGAGGCAACCCTGGAATAGGGGATTTGAATGCGGAACGAATACGTACGATTAAAAGATGGAAACAAGCCAGGCACATGAAAGATATATTTTGGAAAAGATGGTTAAAAGAGTATGTTCTAACACTGCAAACAAGAGATAAGTGGAAAAAGTTGTGCAGAAACTCAAACGTCTTTCTAGCAGACAAATGTGCCGCAGGTAGATGGCCTTTAGGAGTGGTAGAAAGGGTAATCTGTAGTGGTAATGGACTGGTGAGGCCACTCGAGGTGAGAACAAGTTGTGGCATGTTGGTGCGAGATATTAGGAAACTGTGTCTGCTGGAAGGTGCTGAGAGTCAAGAGTCAGAGAGTAGACCACTTGACGATTTTCTAACCTGAGAGGGGTTGCAGGCGTACTGCTGTAAGTCCTGCGATTCTTCAGAGGAGTTACATCAAGACATGTTCTGCTAGGTTATGTGTACTGTTTGCATATATGCATGGTGTGTCATATCAATTGCTATTTTTGGATTCACTGTGTTTACTTGTTGTTTTCGTATTTTGTTGCATTGTATAATTTTGTTAAAATTTTCGTCCTGCTTACTTCTGAAGTTGTTTCGAGTCTTCTACATCTGTGAATGAATTGATTGATGTTAAAGACAGCAGATGGCTCGTATAGCCGGGGATGCTAGTCCTGAGAATGACATGCACACATAGACAAAGATTAGCTGTAGAATCAATGACTGAGAATGAATGTTTCCATTTAGGTTGTGGTCCCACACGCATGTCTATCCGGACAGAATGAGTAACAACTATCACTGTAAATGTACCAAATACCAGCAGCAATCGTGTATCCTCACTAAATGCTAGACTAATGTAACGTAAATTATAACTCAAACGTGTCTGTACCATGGATATTTGTCTGCACAGACAGAAATAAACTATTATTTTTACTACAATGATTTACTACAGTGACCGACAATTATACAGGATGGAAATCTGACGGATTGAGAACGTCTGAAGTATAACTTATCATCCCAGAAAACCAGTCAGTTACGTTAATTGAAGGATTTCGAGCCCCTTCACAGCGGTCCTCTGATGGATTTAATGAACGTTTGTTTTGCGTGGCTGTTTTCCCTGCTAGGACTGCAATTTGAAAACAGAACCATTTCATTATATAACCTGAACCCTCTAAACTGAGAGCCAGCCTTAAATTTAAGCCCCCATCTACTGAAAATAGAACATAATACATAAGGTTGTACAGGGATATATTCATTAACTATAGTACAAACAGGAAACGTGCATACGCAATCACTCAAAAACGTAGCAAACTCACTTTTCCCTGTTGAATGTCCTATTGTCTATAATAGGATCCAGTCGACATTAAAAAATTAATTGATGACTTAAGACGAAATATCTGAGGCTCAGTTGACTAAACTTTTTTCTTTGACCTCCTACAAAATTATGCTCCATGCCCTTGCGTTAGGCGTTGAGAGTGTCGTGGGGCAAAAATGTCTGAGGAGAAGCAAAGAGCAGTTGCAGTAGCAGCCTGATAGAACTTCAAATATCGGAATGCAGAGGTGACGTGCTGCTGATGACCTATATTCCAGTCGTTACTAAAAGAAACAAAATGTCATTTTAAAAGTTGTTTCCTGCATAACTAGTAAACCATAACCACCAGCTTAAATAAAATTTCAGCTACTTAGTTTTTACTACATGTGGTATTTGGGAAGCGAAAATTTAACAAGATAATACTACAGAAAGATTTTTAAAAAATTCAGTATGATAAAAGTGTAAACCGATGCATGGACCATCTACGTTCACATCTCCTTCCAACCAGTAGTTTTATGTCAGTGTCGGCATCCAGTAATAAAAGTCTCACTTTAATCAAGCTGAGTAGATTTAGACAGACGAAGTATTGAGGAAAAAATTCAGATGTAAACAGCAGAACAACGCCAAAGTGCGTTTAGTGGATGGTGCATCGCAGGTCACCTAGTACTGACAGTAGCATTCAGCGAACTACACAGCGACCACGCCTGCTAATGCAACTTGGAACTTATTTGGCTATCAGTATCCCTGTAAATAAAGCTTCACTGAAAGGCATTGAAATAGCTAATACTGAGGCAATTTATGCTGAGAAATTTTCACCAAAACGTAGTAAGCCCTCTACAGTGGACAAATTTCGCAGGATCGAGTTGAATGATGTGGAAAGATACTTTGTATTCAATAAGCCTGCTGAGAGTAAGCGTGTTAACAAACCCGCACTTGATACGAAGAAATCCTCTCAAAACGCATGTGCGTCTGGTGGTTTTCGGCATACTCTGCCTTATAGAGACTTAGGTTCCGAAACCCGCAAAGTCCTGCAACTGAAGCACCTTCCCCCACAATATTCTCCTGGTTATAAACAAAACACGAAGACGTGTACCGGTATGCCGAATAGCAGATTGATAGGTAGACCTTAAGGTGCTATGCCTTTTAATCCACAAGTTAGCACCGACCACTACTACCGTACATCCGGGAACACAGAGTAAAAGTTTTGGGTGTCCTCATCACACCCTAACTCTGATGTATGGACAACCAATCCTACCCCCCTTATCATCCGTATACTCTTCCGGTGATGACGCGCAAATAGAATCAGGTTATGGCGGTACTTTAAACCAGTTTGTAGTATCCCGTGACTTATTCACGATATTACTAATTAATGCGCGTTCTCTAATCAATATGATATCTGAACTAAGGACATTAATACGAATCGCCAAGCCTACTGTAGTTCTGATAACTGAATCATGCTGCTCATCCTTCATGCTTGATGTGCATTTAGGCGTAGATGATTACACTGTATACCGTGCAAATAGAGATTGCAAACATAGTGGAGGATGTCTCATATATATACAAAACTCATTCGTAGTCAGTAAGATGAAAGATGAAATCCTGAAGGAGGTACCTGATTCACTCCGGATCGTCTTACATCGAGATAAGTACACACTGCTCATAGGCTGTGTTTATCGAACACCATGCTCAACCACATAAACTGATGCGTTATTAGATAAGTAATCTTAACAAGCCTCCTCGTCTGGTACTAATTACAAAATAATTGCGGGGGACTTCAGTCTTCGAGACGTCAACTGGTTAAGTAGTCCTGGTCTCCAACGCTTCGCCGGATTACTTGCCAGATTTTCTAGTAGTGACCATAGAATTGTACTCTACTGTCTGACTTTCTCACCAACAAACACCGGAAACAGACAAGATTCAGGGGCATGATATGTCGCAGTTAGAAGCATACAGACTGAGGATCAGTCCAAGAACTCATTCGACTCTGTCAATGTGGTGACTATTTCACCGCTGGCTCCCTGAGGGCTGTAGTGCCCCTAATTCACAGGAATGTTAACCTTTGTCTAGACACTGTTGCTACCAAGAAGGTAGTGTAATTAAGTAGGCATCAGGTTGAATACATTCCAAGTGCATACCGCAATAAGCTTAAGGAAGCTGATGAAACAGTTCTATTCCACTAAGGATGTACCACTACTTCACTCAATCCATGAGTCATTGAATGTATCAAGCGCTTATGTTCTCAAAAGTACCTGGACGAAGATTTAAGTGTACGCAAAAGTACTTCTGCACACTTAGCTACTGCCGGCCAAGGAGGGACTTGACTACTGCCAATAAGATAAGAAATGACCAGAAACTACACAACACGGGTGATCTTCGAGAGATGACAAAGATTCGAGTGCGCTTCCATTTATCTCTACTGAGGGTCTCCAGTCAATCGCACTTGTAAACGGTAGATTTGGCTACAGCAACGTCTGTGGAGAGCTTTAAACGAACAATCATGCAACGAGAAGGGATGCGTCCAAATGGCCTATCCCCTTATAATCCCATATATCATTCATGGGTAGAAATCTAAACTTATCGTTCTACTTCATTATATACTCTCCTGCCTCACTGTCCAGAATATTCAAACTAAAAAATTACACTGAAGATTGTTGATATTATATACATATATATGTATACATATGTCAATTTCTAATTTAGTTAGCCGTCTGCTTTTACGATTTCTTTCATTCTTTTTCTGTCTTTTAGTCTGATAACCTACACTAATTATATGTCATAATTATTATCTCTTTTCTGTTATCGACGAAACCAGAGGACTAACTGGTGAAAGGATCAACTCCATTCACAGTATCAACAAAGTCTTAACACACTACATATTACAAACAACATAAAATCAATCTCAGCAGCACTCCTTTGGGAGACAACCAGAGCTACGACTTTGGAGTGGCGGGACCGACTACGCAGAAGTTCACCGAAGAAGTGTAACCTGGACCTCACAATCAAGAAGCAAGCACAAACAAACCGAATTGGCTTATACTAGCTCGTAAAAGCATTATTGGACATTGGATATTGAAATCAGCTGCTCCTTCTCAAGGTCGCGAAAATCTTTAAAAGGATGTCACTAGTATTCGCCTCAGTTTCCAATCGCCATTCATAATGAAATTACGCCCAGGAGATAAGGAGGGCTACTATGATGCTAACGAGATGGGTGGCCCACCACTAAATCCGGGAGGTGCAAGCAGATATTTTGATGGACAAGGCTACACGGGTCGTCAAGACCCATATGCAAATGTAAGTGTATCTAAATAGAGTCATTCCAATTATGTCAATTTAAATATATTTCCTCTCCCATCACTTCAATGTGTGCAGCAATAGCAACAGCTTCAGCATCCATTGCAACAAATTTTATCTCACACATTTAACATTCCAAGAATAAAACTGAGTGTCTAGGGTTCTGGGTAGCTTGAAATATAGTGACCAACACTAGGGCATGTGAAAACGATCATGCACTACAAATGTAGCGCTGGAAGAACCGGAAAACATCAGCATCGATTGTGGATATCGTCTATCTGGCATGATTTTGCAATGAACCATACGCAACGATCATTTGAATCCATCACTGGACAGATAACGTCGATTATGATGTGCAGATCAACTTATGGTCTTCTCACATCATAAGTATAGGGATAGAAGTAGCAGGCAATTGAGTTTCGGTCCAAATTAGTGGCAAATGGTCATACTGCTTGTACTAAACGTTTGGATTGTCTCTATACTTTTTGACCATTAACCATTTCACTTTCAGGTTATGCGAATAATGAGCCGACACACTAGTATCTGTGTGTACACAGCCATTGCAATGATCTGCGACTTCTTCCTCCTCTTCGTCTTCTTAGTCACAACCATTGATTGCTGTGCATTTTGAGTGAAGATCTCCAAAAACAAAACACATTTTGCTTCTAGTCAGCTTGCATCCAAAAGAGAGTTTACAGTGTACAGTTTACAGTGAGATCACCAATCCAATGCCCATATTTCACACCCTGACTCACTTTCAGCGTTCTTTTGAGATTGTAGACCAGTGTGATCGATTCCACTGCGGCATCGTTGACCGTTTTCTGTGGGGTTTACTCATTCAGAAGTGAATCTTAGGATGTGATCACAAACTCAGTGATGATAGAACGCCACATACTGATGTCTGTAATGTGGTTTCATACTTCTGGGAACCCAAATGATAATGAGCAAGTTCAGGTAGTCCAAGTAATCGTAAATGATGGGAAAGTTTGAATCCTAAAGAATAAGTAATTTGTTACGAGGTGAAGATGCAGGCGCATACTTTCTTTCAGTCACGTACTTGCGCAATATCAGGAGGATATAGTGTGCACCTGAACTTACAATTTAGTCATCAAACATGACATGAGGTTCCTGGTTTTCATTGGATTCAATCGGCTGATCTGCATAAGTTTCCACAGTATCGAAATAATTGTATACATTTTTCTAAATATCTGTTTACAGCAGAACTTCCGCAACGGAACATCAAGAGATATGACGGGGTATCCGATGTACGGTCAGGATTATGGCAGTCAGCCACAGCCGATGTACAACATGGATATGAATCGCAGAAATAATATGGATGTAAGTCCTGTAAGCTATAACAGTTTCTCACTATTATTTGAAGTGAGGAGTCGAAGTTTCCCAGTTCTTCTTAAATTTACTCACCTTAGGCACACATTTCGCCTTGCATGTACTGAAGATTGAAAAATGTATTAGTCTCTCCCTTCAGGGAGCAATTGCGTCATCCTATCGAGAGAAGAAATGGAAGTATTGAACATCTCTCTCTATCCATTGGACTGACTGGATATAATTAACCTTGAATATGAACCTACATTTGATACGCATAGCAGTCAGTTTTCTCATATTTGTAGGTAACAAGTACTGCAAACACTAAGGCTGTTTCTTTACCGAAATCGGCATCGCCATTCATCAGTGGATAAAGCGACATTTTCGTTTGTGACTGACCAAAATGTGCTAGGCTTGGTTATGTGAGAAAGCAGTGTAAGCATGAGTCACGTGGTCAACACTGGTTGTACGTATATATGTGCATGTACATCGTGTGTCTGGCTGAGTAGTTCCATTTGATGCGAAACATCTGTTCATTGACCATCCAGTATGCACGACGTTTAGCCTGCTTATGGACACAGTCCATGAATCGACGTGACCGAATAAGATGGATCACTGCTCCAGCCATTACTCACATACACTTCACTCCCACATTCTTCTAATTGAATACAAATATCAATGTTAACAGTTGGTTTCAAACAGTCTGGTCGCTCCAGTAGAAGAATAATCACTCCACAGAATCTGTGAATGCAACATTTATTGTGGTGAAATGAACCTACGATTTTAAGTTCTCTGACATTTTCGAGTGGAATTGTAGCTCCTTCTTAAGCTGATTCCACAGCTGACAGTCAGATAAACCTTAAAATTCGATCCACTGATTGAGTTGTAGTTACTCACGAACTTCGTCGTTCGCTGTTTTCCAGCAGTGCATGTGCACTACAGGGCATAATAAATCACCTCGACGTTACATCGTAGTATTCAATCGAGAGGTGCTAAGAGCACGAATTTGCATAGCAATGGCACCTTTTCTCAGTACGCACATGCATAGTTGAATGTGCATCGTCAGTGCCAGTATATTCCTACTTTTGCATTCTAGGGTGGATATGACCAATACACGGATGATTACGAATTTCCCTCAGGAAATCAAGGGTAAGATATGCCTTTGCTGATAATTGCTTGCTACTCATACGTCTATTATACACACGTTTGAAGCACTACTGTTTGCTGCATAATAATTTTTACGAATGGAGGAAGACATCATGTGAGGAAGCGTGACCACTCCTTCGGGAAACTGTGTCAAATGGAGACCGTTTGAGGAATAAAGGCCTGAGTAACTTGTGGTCTTGTGGGAAAACGAGATTAGATGAAAGCAATTAGACTGCTTCACATGGTGAAAAGCAAGATGAAGCGCACAAATAAATTGAAAAGCCGTGACAAAAATTTACTTTAAACAGGCGATTATAAATTACTACCTCTTCCGTCTTCTGTGAAGACTATCGTACATAAGTGAGGATGATGGGTTGATATCGACCATGTGGAACGACCGAACGATGAAGGACTCATAAATAGCACTCGCATTTTGTGTTTTGTTCGGTCCTCCTGATCACACAAAGTTGAAATTTCGTAACAGTAATGTTCGTGGACGGCACGAAAGAATTAGTCAAACCGACTAAAACTGGTAGTTCATCTTCTAGTCTTAGCATTGCTATTTAGCAAATAAAGGTGACATTCGCAATTTTTCTCCGTCAAACTTAACTATACCACCTACATTTGCACTTTGTGATGAAAATTAAAAGTGTTTTATTATGATGATGTCTGGCTAATTTAGAAGCAGTATTCAGCGATGGATAATGACTGTTATCTTATGTAATTTAATGTGATACGTTCATATCTGTCTGTATAATTGGCGAATAATATCATTTGCAATTAATAGTGTTCTCCGAGCTGGTTGGTTTAGTTGCGGAGCTTTTGTCGTCCTTCTGGTCAACATCTTTAATTTTAATTTTTTTCATGAGTGATAGAACTGCGTCTCCTGGTAACCATCTTTACATATGTATTGACCATTTTCTATTGACATGGGTTTTAAATTTTCTGGTCACCTGATTTACTTTTTATTATTTCGTATATTTCGTTTATATTAAAGTGTTTGTTAATTGCATTTTCGTTTGAGTACCAGGCTTGTAGGAATTCCCCGGCACTTTTGGTGTTTCCTCTGTCTAAGAATTTGACATCATCCCAATCAAATTGATGACCATAATTGTCCATATGCATTGATACTTAAGAATACATATCGCGTCTTTTCACGGCTGATTTGTGTGCTTGGATTCTAAATCGAAGGGGAAGCCCTCATTGGCCGATGAAATGCTTGTTGCAGTTCATTCTGTTTATTTTGTAAATGGTACTAATTTTATCCCCTTTTTCTGTTGGATGTTTCGGTTCGCATAATATCGAATTAAGCGATTTGACTGGATTCTGTGCTACATGTATACCAAACCATTTCAGTATTCTAGCTGTTATTTAAGAGATATTTTTTCATTGAAATACATTATGGTTGAATCTTTAGTCAAAATAGCTGGGAACGATCTGGATCAAACTACCCTTCAAACGGAAACCGATGGGATGACGTAGATGACCAATGCAAGTAAGTGACCAGCTTTGTATACCACTTGTCGAAATCATTTCCGTCGTCACGTTTTCGCCATAACTGTCGCACATATTATGTTTATCTGCACAGTTGTGGCGTAGACATCATGAATTATGAGTATCATTTCGTTGTGCTTGTCGCGAATGATGATGCAACTAAAACCTGACATAAAGTAACAAAATGTGTATTAGAAACAGCCAGACATTTTCCTGTCAATAAGCGTTTCAGTTTAATCCATATTTGTAACTTTCCTCGCAATTACTGAAAAACCTGAAATCAGGGCGAGACAACAGCTTCTCTTGACCATTATTCTACACAGAAGTGGGTTTTATACAACGCTAGTAATACCACAGTGCACATCCCGCTAAAGATACTTTATTCAATTATGCTAATGAAGGGCTCGTAGAACAAACAATTACTGCACTCACGGTTCTATCAAACAAACCTTTCAATTACTATCCTGGTTTACACGCACAAACACACACACGTACACTGATTGTCGTTTTAATGTCTCTTCACATTGTTGTCCTCCTCAGAATAGTACGACAAGTTCGTCATTGAAGTCAATGAGGAGAGATCTGAGTCAGCATATTAGTCTCCACAGATTACATATAACAGTGAAACAATGACGAGATATGTAAGCATCTTCAGAAGACGTTAGTGTAAACAGATGATCAGAACTGTTTAAAACCCGTATTGAATCAATGGTACTGGTGTATTCCCGGAAAATATTTGTGCATACGGAATGGTTCGTTAGATGTTTAGACTCAACTAGGAAGAAACTCTGGATTCGATTCCCCTCCAGTGAGTACTTGGAAACAGGGTTTAGTCTGCCCTCACCAGTCTGATGATGCAAATGCCAACCACTTGTGTGTAATAAACAAATATTGTGAGTAATTAATACCCGTCAAACTGAGCACTATGCCTTTGCAAACGGTTGACAACGAAACAGATCACCTTTCCGTCGTAGCCAGGTAAGATAAGGATCAGGGTTTACCAAAGCTATGTTGCAAACATAATTACCATTGTGCAGCTTATCTCTATAAAGCGTTTCCGTCACCATAAAATTAGCCGTAAATGCAACGCGTTTGCTAGTGGACAATAAACCTGCATATGTTGTTTCAAAATACAGCAGTGAACTAAGTACTCATTGAAAATAAACCCAAAGTCCTCCTGTCACCAGTTTCAATATATTTACATCCTAATGGTTGCAACAGTTTACCATGTACAGTTTACTACTTCCACTGAATAAACTAACTTAAATACATTTCTTTTGTGTAGCAATAGCAGGTTTAACAGAGGCTGGCGCTAGAAATTGCATATCAGTCTTCGCCATTACACCAGTCATTTCGGCTTGACTGTCATTTTCGGTGAGTGATATTCCCATGTTCAACGCTTGTTGTTCCATATATATATATTTATAAATGTGCATGAAGTAGACAATTTATACCGTGATCAGTTTCAAACCATAAGCACGAAGATTCAACCCCGTTGGCAACCTTAGATTTGTTAATTTCAGTCATTGTTCCATTATCGAAGAACAGCATGATGACTAACATTCCTTTCATCAAGTTCATTAACTGCGTTGTTTGTTACAAGAGTTGAAGTGGAGTACAGTGTTGTTGTAAAGCATTGCGTCTAGGGCTTTGAAATCCCTCGTATGCCATCACTCCTAGTCTCCTAATGTGAAGATGTGACTTTATTCATCATAAAATACCGTCTGTGAAAGATGAATTCACTGGTTTGGTCAGAATACCTGAGTGCAGTACACTTCATGTGCGACTCCATATCATCCTACTATGTTTCAGTTGAATCTAAACGACTATTCACCTTCCTACTTATTTAGTTATTGAAAGTAAGTTATTCAGTAAATTGTGCCTGTCTTAGATCATCCTGTTCTGATTGTGAATGAATGAAATTAGTGTATAGAGCTGAGTGTAGTGGTGAGATTGTAGAGGGATTGAATACAAACTAATTTGCCCTGACTCAACCTGTAGGCGAGATCAAATTATTCAATTTCTAGCCTCTTCAAGTAGTGCACCTCATGCCGATAGTTTAAAATTGTCTAGCTTGTATCTTTGTACAAGGCCTTTTGTTTCAATTTGTAGAAATTGTAGAAACACCAATGATTCTGGAATTCAGAAGAGGTGTGGTCTTTCAAAGTGGTGTCAGACCAGAGGATTTAGTCTGAATTTCTTCAAATATTTATGCCGGATTACACGACAACAGAGTTGAAGGACTACTTTCAGTTGGCGATAATCACTGTTAATGGGCGTCTGTGTGTCCTATCACGTAGTGTCACTCAATGAATTATAAAGTACCACTGTGAAGAGAAAGCGAATATTATCAACTTTATTGTATTTCTGTGTGTGTTCACATTCTAGGAAGAGACGGATGGCAAATACTTTTTCATTACATACTGATAAGAGTATATTTTCTTTACTTTTGCTTAAAGGTTTTCTAACGGCGAAGCAAACATTGTTTTCTCCATAAAAATTTCGGATGTCTGGTGTTCCGTGTAAATGGCTTGAAGTGAAAGTGGAAACAATACTGTGTACAGGTCACAGTGCACAGCTTATATCTTCTGTACATTTAAAAGCACTAATGTCATTATTTTTGTAAAATACATATTTTCCGTGCATAAAATCCCTTCGATACTTTAAATTATCCGAACTACTTATGTATCATGTGAACGGCGAAATGAAAGTAAAGCGTGTGGTCATCTGTTACCAAGTTAATCATCATACTTCCCGTTGAAGTTGAAGAACTTGGTTCTGATGTTTACAATACAGAAGCATTTCACTGTGAAATGACTTTGCCTTCGATATAGACTGAATGAAAATCGGATCTTCACAGTTGGTCAGCTGGTGTTAACACACACCTTTCTGCAATACAACGTTGGATTTGTCTTGAAATGCTTATTCTCAACTCACAGTTCAATAAGTTGACTGAAAATTGTTCTACCGGATTGGTTTCGAAAGTCGCTTCGTATAGCTTCTATCAAGGTAGTAGTGTAGTTTCTTGTTTTGTCAGTCTAATATCTGCAAGTGTGTGTTGTTTGCACCCCACAATCAATTATAATCACGCAAAGGTTTCATTAAAATTTCATAAACATAAGAAATTACAGAAGGAACATGCAGTGATTCACTCGACAGAATTCGGGAAATAATGTACAAGGTGAATTAGCATTCACAAGAAGTTGCTAGTAAGCGCAATTTATAGACCAGTCGAGTGGTCATGAAATTGGAAACATTGCAATGATGATCACTGAATAATGGGAAACATAGACATATGGAAGAATTTAGTGGAAAAGGGAACAGCGTATTTGAAGTAATATGAAGCTTGGTTGTGTGACTTCTTCTTATGAGAGATGACGATGGAAGAGCAGGGGAATCTAAAAGTTGTTTTTCCACGCAGTTTAAGGTTCATCAGTTCGATGGCGCCAAACTTAACCAGTATCCACCAAATGGGATCGAATAGTGCTCATAGGTTTATTTGATTACTATCATATGCGAGAGTGAGCATTACCAACAAATTTATTTGTTCAATCATGGAATAAAAGTGGCATTCAAGCCCACAAACTCAATTAGACACAAGCTTTGTCGGTTAAAGGATCAATCCTGTGGAGCCTTTGAAACAAAACAATTTAGTTTATCTTATACCCTGCTGGAATGATTGTCAGGTCAAAGTAGTAGAACAGAGGCAGTCAGACTAGCCGAACATAAAAACCTAGCAAAATCTAGATTGGTTGACCCGAATAAGATAAGAAATCTAGAGAATAGTTCAGCTATACTACTCACTTCATGCAATTACACACAACCATACAATAGGATGGATGGGATAAGATGACAGTTTTCTTAAATCTAATGTCACAGGGTGGAGGGAGAAATTGATAACAGAAGCTTTGTTTGTCGAATCAACTGCAAATATATGTAATTGGAATGATTCAACACCTGTCCCAGATATTTGTGAAATTCTACTACCCCAACGACAAATAGGAGAAGACAAAGAAAACTATAAAACTGAAGTTTCAAAGCCGTGTGATTACAATTGATATGATTATGAACAATAAATTTTGAAAATCACTCGACAAAGCTATTTAGTAACTCGTCTCATTTGAGATAACTATCACAAATAACAAACGAAGCATCCTATATCCACAAAAAGTGCCCACTCATCTGTTATATACAGTCACAAGAAATAACTTTCCAATTGTGGGGAAAATATGACTACAGTTGTTGGTCCTACTGTTGGGCTCCCTGTCCTTCTTTCCACCTATCTATATCAACCATTCCTGACAGGAAACTGGACCTGGGTATGCACGGTAATAAGAGTTCTCTCTAGCCGTCAACCATACAAAAATGTTCTCTGTGCTTCACTTTACAGCAGGAATCAATTGAATATTTCTAATAAGGGCTCTTTTGTGATGAGTATCTTGACGCCGACATGCAGTGTTTTCTCAATCAGTACATCATAAGTCTTGAATAAATCGATCAATTCTCTCAAAATATGTTTGCAAGATATGTTTCCACTAGTTCCAGTAAGTCCGCAAATTAATTTGCCAAAACGTGGTATGTTGAGTTGTACATGTATGGCATTGCTGACTCACATTATACATTAATCACAAACATTTCTACTAGGTAATCTATTGTAGGTTTCTCTAGTAATTTAACTTCATAACTGCTGAGTGTGTGGCTACTGGTCAATCTCAAGATTCGTGCAGTCGCTGAGCATATTCACGTTACTTTTATAAAACAATGTATATCATTGGTAGACACACACGATTTATCACCGTGATTATCTGTTCTTTCAAATTCTTTGACTGGACTCCGACAAGCCCTGGGTTGTGTTGATTAAAGTGAATCCTCTTTAACAGCAAAAAGATGAGTCATCCGAATCAAATATTCCACTGGAAATTGAGCATAATGCTATTCAATGTGACCAGCAGAACAGAAGCCATCAGGAGTCTATACGAAATATCAAGAGATGAGCATATGGTGTAGGCAACAATGAGATTGGCTCTAAATAAAGCCGGTCATATTAGACCTGAAATTATTGATCTGTAGAAGAATAAAGTCAAGCGTCAGTATTTGGCTTTCGGGGCCTTCGCCGACAGCTTACAACAGTTGTCTTCCGATTATGTGTGCATAGTATCAATCAGACAAGATAAAGAAGTAAAAGTCCATCCAACAAACGTCTAATTACAAGAGTTACAGGTACATGATCAAAATCAAATTCACGTTCACTAATACTTTATGTTTTAAAGAATACTTCGTCATAAAATGAGATGACTTCAATAACCATTCAAAAGCAGCAGGCATACGACACTGTTCCCTCCATGTATGCGAACCCTCACCAATACCTACCTGACACCTGATCAGGTATCAAAACCAAGACGGGTAGATTGAAGCTTTCAGTTTGAATAATTAGGTGTGAGATAATCCATTTATTCAAATAAAACGAACCAAATAATATTAGTAATTTCGAAATCCCAACAATTAGTTCATAACAAGGATAATTGGATCGAACAATTGTTTTCAATAATTGTTTTCCTCTACAGGCTCTACACTTAAAAATCCGTTAATTTTGGCATATAATAGGCAGTAAAAGCAAATAGGGATCATATGAACTGTGATCAAGATTTGACCGGATAGTTGCGAAATAATTGAGCGCTGAGTGAGAAGTAGACATTTATAAAATTATATTCGTAAAATCTCAGCGAAATTGAAATGATTAATTCCAACGTTTCGTTCGACAATCTGGTCCGAACTTCTTCATATTAAAAAGTGTATTGTTGTATAAATATGTAAAGAAGACAAGACTGAGGAGGCTGAAAGGAATGTTTATTTGATGAAACGTATGGTACATAGCTAAATTTGTTTTACCATATTCTCAACCGGCCATTTGCACATCA